TGGCAGTTTCGGGAGATTGAGCGAGGTGTAGGGCGTTCCTGAAGCAGGCAAGTCGCCATATATCATTTCTTGACATTGATTCAGCACGCGTTGGCATATATGGAACGACTCGGAGTTGTGTGAGACAGCCAGGTCTTTGAGGTGAGCTTGCATAAACCAAAGGGTCTGATACCGTAAGTACGATTAATCGGCCATTGAATATTATGAGTACACACCAACATGGCTATGTGAGTAGACTTTTGAGATATTTCTACTACAAAGCACTCTAATGCTCTGGACTGCGAAGGTCTAGTGACCAAGAGATGACTTTCGACGCCATGTGTTGAGAGACTCTCAGATGGGGATATAACGTAGTCCTTACTTACCATATAAAACCCCATACTTCCCTAAGCTCTCGCGTATCCAATTCCCTCAGCCTCCGCGTCAGATAGTAAGTGATACCTATGTTGTCCGCATAGATCCTGAGGTATTGAAGGGCGACATGGACCGAGAAAAATGAAGGGGAAAGAAAGAGTCGTAAGAGAAGAGCATGGGACATTTCACTTCGTTCCTAGGTATAGCATCCAGAGAAAGATCACGCGGGGGTCTATGCCCTCGCCTTTGAGGCTGGCGGCGGGTCAACGTGAAGCGTCGGTACGGAACAGACGCCGGTCCTCACTCACAGGCGCCCATATACCGACGACACGTCGATTGAGCGTCTATTACACGCTTGTTCACCGTCACCTGTGTAGTAGCAATGATGTTGCTGCTACCTCTCCTCGCTCTTTTCGTTCTCCCACTTTGTCTAGCTGCGGTAAGCAAAGAACAAGCTCACACAGAGCTTGTCAAGCTTGCCGCCTCTGGCAATGGTATCATCACAATCGACGACCGTGTTTACGAGTTGTTGACGATGCCCAACCGTGACTGGTCGGCGACGATTGTGTTCACCGCTATGGACCCCAGAAGAAAATGTTCGCCTTGCAGGTAATTTCTCAGGTCTTATACTGTCTATCCGACACGCTCTAATATGGATACAGAACTTTCCAACCTGCTTTCGATGCGGTAGCCAAATCCTGGAAGAAAGTGCCCGCAGCAGACCGTGACCAACACTTCTTCGCCTTTGCGAACTTTGACGACGCCATGGCTACATTCCAAAAGGTGTGTTGGTAATATTTCTGCAGCTGTACTGCTGCGAACGTCTACAGCTTGGTATACAATCTGCACCCGTTGTCATGATGTTCCCAGCCGCGGAAGGTCCTCGTAAAGCCGCGAATGGGAAGACGTCTCCACTTACCTATGACTTTGCCCAGTAATTATCTGTGAATAACATCTTCGCTAGTACGGATGCTAACGTGATGGTGTAGGGGATATGACGCAGAGCCTCTGGCGGAACAACTCTCCCGACACACTCCCGCTCGGATCCCTTACAGTCCCCCTGTGGATTGGTCGAAATACATTGTCATCGCTGTCGCTCTCTTAGCCGGCTCTATCGCACTCCGCTTCATATATCCCATCTTACAGTCCCGCCTGTTCTGGGCCGGCGTGACCCTCGTCATAATCTTGACTATGACTGGTGGACAGATGTTTGTCCGCATTCGTGAAATGCCCTATGCGGGTGCCGACGGCCAGTGGATTGCTGGTGGCTACTCGAACCAGTTCGGTCAAGAGGTTACTGTGGTCGCTATGATATGTACGTGTCTGTTCCCTAGATTCTAAAAATAGCGAGCTGACACGGCTGTGTAGATGGCGTCTTAGCCGGCTCATTCTTGTTTTTGACGATGGTTGTTCCTTACCAGACGTCGCAGGGCAGGCAACATTTGCAGGTTTGGCTGTGGTCTGCGACCATCTTCATTATTTTCTCCGTTCTCGTCTCGCTGTTCCGGATCAAGAATCGAGGTTAGTAGTGTTGCTTGCACTGCTTATATCTCTCTAACTGAATTCTATCCGCAGGCTACCCATTCAAACTGTTCCTTTGAAAGATGCAAAACGTCTCATAACTAAGGAAGCGTGTCCCGATTCGCTACGGACTTGTAAACATCGTCGCATCAACTCAATACGATGTAGATATGTGTCGAATGTGGGCTGATCAGTCAACTAGTCATCGTTCGGCCAGTCGATGCTCGTAAGGTTCGTCATGTGTACGCAGCTTGATTTACCCTTCCCCTCCGCCGTTACTCGGCCCGTCCCAGTCCTCAAGCGGTCCGTGCTGTGACTGCGGCCATAGTTATCGAGTCGTCACGGTATACGCCGACCAACCACCGACTTTGATGACACACGCCTTTCGCGAGATTTCAATGCGATGCACGTACCCGTGACTACATATGGTGTCTTCTGGCTCATCATGTGTGTTCGCCGTTCTGGTTAGCGACAGGGATATAATGGGGACTCGACGCGTATTTCTATCAGTTACCTTCCACTGTTCCTCTCTTCGGCATGCTGGTGCTATGGTATACGGTGCTCAGCGCCGCGTGCTTGGCTGTTACTGCTTTGAGCATCATGAAGGTGGAGGGCGCGTCGACAAAACTCAAAGCATACAACAATCCTATCATCAGCGGCTTCGCGCCTGATCCCTCGTGTATCCGGGTCAACGAGCAATATTTCTGCGTCACGAGTTCGTTCAGCGTGTTCCCCGGTATCCCCGTTTACACTTCTCGGGACCTTGTACAATGGCAACAAATAGGTCAGTGGTGATTCATGGTGACGACTGGCGTGTATATCAGTCTTCAACTAATATAACTAACAGGTAACGTGCTGTCGAGACCGGAACAGCTCCCACATTTGGCTCTAGTCAACCAAACGACTGGCGGAATCTGGGCGGCGACAATTCGCGAGCATGATGGCACCTTCTTTGTCACTTCAACTTTGGTATTCGATGGCGAGCCACAAACAAATCCCGATAGATGGGATAATGTCAGTTATAAATCCTGATCTGTGCTACCTCGCCACTAAATAAATGGGCTCAAGTTAATCTTCACTACGAAAGACATCTTCGCTAACAATGGAAATGGCTGGTCGGATCCCGTTCATTTTAGCTTCTACGGCTACGACACTTCGTTATTCTGGGACGACGACGGCAGTGTATACGTGCAAGGCTCGCACGCATGGCACATATTCCCCGCCATACAACAGTACAAGATAGATGTCAGCACGGGTAACGCTTTGAGTGAGCCAATTATCCTATGGAACGGTACTGGTGGACTGGTGAGTTTCTTGAAGCCTTATTGACATTTCACCCGCAATTGAGCATGTCACACAGGCACCGGAAGCTCCGCATGTGTATAAACGAGACGATGGATATTATTTAATGATAGCTGAGGGCGGAACAGGCGTTGGACACATGGTGACGTGAGTAGCATATTCCCGATTGCTTATACCTGCATTCTAAATTTCGTCGATACATGGAGCATGGCAAAGTCACTCAACATCGCAGGCCCTTATACTGGCTACACACACAATCCGGTTCTGACGAACGCGAATACCACTGAATATCGTAGGTGATCTGCTCATCCTCACCCTAAATATGACAGGGCTTACATACGTCCGCGACGTCTTGCAGTGCAGACTGTAGGACATGCGGACTTATTCACCGATACTGCCGGGAATTGGTGGGCCGTAGCATTAGCCACAAGAAATGCTACCGTCAACTAGCGAGTAGTTATCCTATAGTCCATGTTTCTACTCTCTGACGTGTTTCTATTAGTCCGATGGGCCGTGAAACCGTTCTAGTACCTGTCACCTGGGAAGAAGGTACGTTAACATTCGCCATTCAGTCATGCACCAGACTTATCCATTAATCAATCACCTAAGGTCAATTTCCTGTATTCAACCATGCTATACCTGGGAGGGCACACGTCAACATGACGGGTCCACTTCCTCCATCGCGCAGCGTACGCGTCAGATGTCCTTCTTCTACACTTGTTACCTGACACATCATGGTAACACTGGCAGCCCATAGATGACGACTCAAAAGATCCCCTCGTCGGTCACTCGCAACATATAATCTTCCCTGCTGGGCCCAACGCGCCCCTCACTTCTTTGCCCCGTCAACTCGTGTACTACCGCTTCCCAGATTTCTCCCGCTTCACTGTGGCCCCTCCTGGGCATCCTCAAACACTGAGAATCCTGGGTTCCGCAGAGAATATCACAGGGAATGGCTTCATCGGGTCCAGCACTTTCATTACGCGAAGACAGGATGCCGTAGAGTTTACGGCCGAAGTAGCTCTTGAGTTTGCTCCGGACCTGTCGCACTCCTCAGTCGAAGAGGAGGAAGCTGGAATGACGCTTTTCATCCAACGAAATCAACACTTCGACCTAGGCGTTCTTGCACTCCCAAGTACATCTGGAGACGGTACTCTACAGAAGTTCATCCGATTACGTATATTTAGCGCAACCTCCAGTGCAGATGGGATGAGCGACCCGCTAAGCCCGGAATCTTGCCTCTGGCCCACGGACTAGACAAGCTGCGACTTCGCGTACAAGCTGTAAATGCATCAACGTATGCGTTTTCGTACTCAGATTTAGCTCAGGACGGACAGCCAATCTTGTGGAAGACTGTCGGCTATGGTACCGCGAGCGAGGTTAGCGGAGGCTTTACTGGAGTAAGTGTTGATATTCAAATGGCCAGAACCATGGTATAACTTAATGTCTCACTTTAGACCACTGTGGGCATGTTTGCTACAGGAAACGGACATAACTCGACTACCTTTGCATACTTCAGCAATTTCACTTACGACCCAGTACAGGGTGTGTTCTAGGAGAGCTATACAGTATAACAAATGCAAATTGGATAAAATATTTTCGATTATGTATACTCCGCATCTCTTTACAGCATCTTCCAGAACTGCACGTTGGATTTAGGATGTACTTCAAGTTGTGGCGAGCGAGCCTATTCAAATCCACCATGTTCGATGCGTGTGAAAAAATCCTCTAATCACGGCTTCCTGGCGCAATGGTAGCGCGTTTGGCTTCGATCGCTAAAACGGTACCAAAAGGTTGCAGGTTCGAGTCCTGCGGTNAATCACGGCTTCCTGGCGCAATGGTAGCGCGTTTGGCTTCGATCGCTAAAACGGTACCAAAAGGTTGCAGGTTCGAGTCCTGCGGTGGTCATTTTTGCTGCTAGCTTTCTTGAAGTTTCTTCGGGCCTTCCAAGTTACAACTTATGTGTCAGAGTCTGAGCAACGTAGCTCACGAGGATAGGTTCCGGCAAACCACATTTGTCGGGCAAGCAGCATCCGCTCCGAGTGCGGGCTTATTGACCAATATAGCGGCGGCAAAAGTAGAGCATGCCGTTTGAATACAAATACTGGATGCCTTCCCGCAGCCATCCACAACGCTACACCGAGTCAACTCCTTTTCAAGAACTTTGAACTCCAGAACCAGAATTCTTTCCGGACAAAATTTTACTCTTATAACAGCGCTTAGATTGATAAAATCATCAGTTGGTCGATTCGTTTCGCGAAATTTCAAGATTCGAATCTTCAAGCGGTAAATGCAAGTACAACCCAGTTGTTACACATACGACCAGTACACGTCTGCTATGTAACTCTTGATACAAGTGCTGCGAGATGTATGTTTTGACCCCAGTCCGCGCACGTCTCAAGGATTGACTGGGCCAGAATGTATCTGTGTCACTTTCACAACAGCGGGGATGAAATCTTTTTACGCCATGAGGGTCATTTGTCACACGCTACTGCATAAATGACACACCTCCAGTATCGAGAGGGAAAGGGCGATGACCGATAGCGGCGAGCAATCCCGCAGTCTCTCCGCTGTGCGAAGTGATAGAGATATCTGTCCAGTGCACTGGCGTTAGTCTACTGCTGTTTAGACAGTACTTCCGTCTGGACCGTGAATACTCACAGGTGCTATCGTCACCGTTGAAGATCTCTACCAACGCAGACCGCGCCCGAGCCTGCTGCTGATCCGCAGTCTCGCGCACGCTTGGGGTCCACAACTCGTCGTTCTCCGTGAACCCCTTCTCAAACAGCCACGTTGGCTCGCGGTCGTGTATGAACGTCTTGCTCCTGCGCATATCACTTGTGTGTACGCCCTAGTACGTATTAGATTGTGTTGCGCCCTCCGCAGTCTGTTATGAATGTACACACAATCGTCTCCCGTAAGCCCTCAACGATAATGGGCACAGGCGCACCAGGCCGGTTCAAAACGAAGTCTCCCCAAGTAATATTCAGCGTGTCCGTCGAGCGCGTCAATGGGCTAACGTAGAATGACTGCGGCAGCGGCGCACCTGCCGCGGCTTGCTGCCTCCACGCGACGGAGAGGTTCTGCGCCTGTTGTATGCCATTCGGTGTCAAAAGCGCGTCCGGGCCCCAGATGCTGTTTTCGTTGCCGTTGATCTTGGACCAGCTACGCATAGGAGTCGGTAAGATGAGAACTTGGAAGCAAGATCTACAGAGGGCGTACAAAGCATTCCACGCTGGTGTTCCGAAGAATGTCTCAGCAGCGTTATGAAACCCCTCTGCAACAAGGTGCTCATGAGACATAGATAGGGTCATAGAAGGCTTTCTGACCGCCGTGTCGAGCCTATTGAGGGGGATCGTGGTCACGGACATGATGTTGTACGATATCATGCAACGCACCATGTACAAGACACGGAACGAGACTCCTGGAGAGGCGTTCGCGTTCAGCTCTGTTGGATAAAATTGAGATTTCTATATGTGCGTGCAGAATTGCACGTGCCAGATATATTCGATGCAAATAGCTGCCAATGGTTTGTTTCGTTGGCGGTAGTGAGACCGAAATTCTCATTGATCTCGACGTTTGTTAGAACATTTGCCAATTACTTGGCTTGACCATGAAACCTACTACGCTGAATGTCGAGGAGTCCGTTGAGTTGGTATCCTGTAGGAAAAACCCTGTAACAGTCTGATAGAAACAGCGGTTCAGTATGCGCATGTAACAGATAAATACAGCAGACGAACCTCAAGTGTGAAATTATGAGCGAAGGGTGGACCGATGTTTGATGCCGTAAAATTGGGCGAAACACCCGTTGCGAATACAATGGGTAAAGTATCGACAAAGTCATGTATGATAGTAGCGTATGATGTCGTTAGAGCAAGCAGCACGGCAAAGGGCAAAGTAAACATGGCTGAGGACAGGTTCCCACCAAGCGGGCGCACGGAATTGCGAGAAGTGCAGCCTTTATAAGGCTACAATTTGGCGTGCGGATGCAATTGAATATGCTATGGAACCTAGAGAACATGTAAAGCTCTCACCATCAGACTGCCAGCGATAGAGTTTTCTGACGTGCAGCACGAGTGTGTTCAGTGAGAAGAAGTCGCGAAGGATGCACGAGGCTGTCCGTCATGAACGTTCCAAGGCGCACGCGACCCAGATACCTGTGCAGTACGGGAATGTCATCGATAGTGGAAGCTCCCGTAGATGCGCAATGACCAGGGAATATAGTCTTGCTAGTGGATGATCAACTCTCTTGGCGGAGAATGCGGATGAATGAAATGAGTGGCTTGGGTACGTAACAGAGTAAGATGAAGAGTAACGACTAGTAGGCGGTCAACAGGGATTCGCCCTCTATCTAATGAGTGTCGGCGGCCTTCTCCGGCACAGGTTTCTGGTCCGTCTCTGCGATGGGTGAAGGAGAAAGCATTCCAGCGAGCACCCATGAACCTGCGAAAAGACCTAGGAGTGCCCATACACCGTTCTTTTCGTCTGAGTCCAAAGAGCGGGAGTAGCTGCTGTCCGTTTTGCCCGACGTGAGGGTTGTCTCGGCTACCCCCTCAAGGAGTTCGGCCGGGACCGCTTTGCCAGGTAGTCTCACGAAAGAGAGCTCGGGGATCAGATCGTGCAGAAGCTCCGTGACGGGGCCCTTTTTTACTGGCGCAGCGGAGGTAGGTGGCGAGAGGTCTGGGTAGAGGTTGTGGGAGACGATGTCTCCTGTCTCCATGTCAGAGCCCGCTACTGTGATAATTTTCGGAGTTGTGGAATCCTGCACGGGCGCAGGAGACGACTCGGCCTTCACTCTAGAGGAGTCCCAGAGGTCGGGAACGAACGGCTGTGAATTGCGGTAAGTAGGATCTCAGTCTGATTATGGCATACTCGAACACACATACCACCGGGGCAAGCTTCTGCACGATAGGGATAGATACGTCCGGAATCTTCACGTTAAGGTACCCCTTGGGATCACTGGAAGACGACGAGGCGCTGGGAGCCTCCGTAGATGCGTGCCGTGCGGGGGTCACGGGAGGTGGCACCTGTACAGCCTGTGCTCTTCCATGTTCCTGTAGCCGAGTAATGAGGGTTGCCTTGTTGCCTGTTCTATGAACAATGCATATCACTTCCGCTGTCCGGGTAAGCAATGCTAAAAACACTGCAACTCACTGCAGCAGGCCGTGCTTTTTTGCCTCCTTCTTGAGGGCGCTGACGGTCTCGTTCTCCCAGTCGCGGGTGAGGAGCACGGTAGACACAAAGCCTCTGCGCTGAGAGACATGTCGTACGTTCGAGCTGAGAGTGTGCCGCAACATGGCGAGTGGTAGGTTGGAGAACTGCTCGGACAGCCGGGCCAAGAAGGAGAGGAGCGCGTCTAAAGGCCACGTGGCGGCGTATTTATGACGTCTCGAAAACTCGAGTCCTGCGAGCGCGTCTCCGGAGTCCTGCTCGCCGTCCGCCGCAGCGACGACGACGCCGCAAGCGACGGCGAGACCGCGGGGCTATCGCCCGAGTCACTGTGCATGATCGCCTCTGCCCATCGTAGCTGGGATCCTGTGTAATCAGCCCAAGGGCTCGTAACCCTAGGAAAGCTGAGCCGCCTCGTGTTCCGGTCTGCCTCGTGTTTCTGACCATTTCAAGACCCTGGGCCCGACTCTCCTCTCTTCTGCACTTCCACCCCAAATACCCTCCCAGCACCCGCTGCATACCCCGCTGCCTGGTGTAGCCATGCTTACATCGCCTGCGTGCGTGATCGCCATGGCTTTCGGCTACGACTTCGCTGATAGTGATCTTCAGGGCGTCCAACGCGAGTCTCCCCTCCAATGGCTTCTGGGGGAAATTCAAAACTCCAAAGGGTGGCAAAGAAATGAAGCTCGAGCAGCAGCAGCCACAGGCCGCCATGCCCCTCGCCAGGCAGCGGCTGCTCACTCTCGCGTTTGGCGATATGGAGACCATTCGAGTGGTATGTACCCGTCACTGCTCCCGATGTAGCGTCTGATAATCTTCCGCAGCTTCCGTCTACATATGCTGTAAGACAGCCAAACTCTCGGTGGTGTTGACGAGAACACAAACTGATGAGTCTGCAGGAACTTGAGGCGGTCACCCGGGACTGGATCAAACCACCTCCAGATGCGGCATTCAGCTTGCGAATCCCAGTCGATTATGCTTCTCTTGCAGCTGCGGTGAGCATTCATCTTCCCGGGTAGCCAACGGAAATCTAACGTGTCATAGCGTTTGGTTTCTACGCCATACATCTGGGTAAGCGGTACCAGTGGCGTTATAGTTGTGTTGTATTCATCGTCCGTAGCTTTCTGGTGAAGAGACATACCAGATCGCAATCATGGGTGTCCAAGGATTGCGAGTAGAAATTGTAGGCGATGGGCCGCCGCCGCCAGAGGACGAGCCACCGTGCGTACTCCTGGAAATCTGGGTTTCAGCCTCCTATCTGACACACCTGGCTCTTTATAAAGACCGCCACCGTGAGTCTATTGTGTCAATGGACCTTCACATCTCTGACTGAGTATCTCCGAAATCTACGATGACGCACTACAGTCCCCCTCCCGTGCTGGACATGCCGGCGACCTTTAATCTAGAACTCACCCCCGGACAATTTGTAGCCTTAGACACGACTGTTTCTTCTGACGAACTCGATATGGCGCGTATGGAAGATGGGACGACGGTGGACGGCCAGTTCTGGGGCAAACTATCCATTGTCCATTCGGGTGATACGCATACGATGGACTTCAGCGGCACGCGGATCATCAACGAAGAAGAAGTTTCTCCGGGACTCCTCGTAGACTCGAAAGTGATCACGAAGCTGGCAGCGGCTGCGAAGCCCGCAACGGCAAAGTGCCACCTCAGCATTCTCGCTTCGAGCGCACAATACTGTGACGTGACGCTCTCCTGCTCGTCGCTTTGGAAGCTCG